TTGGAGCCGCCTTTTAAACCAGATGTAAGTACATCACGTGTCACCTTACTTGGCATAAGTAATGGACCACCCTAATTACCTCGCCTTTGACTTAAAACAAAGTATTTAACACATGATTTTATTACTCAAATTGTGGAATGACAACGTAAATATTTTTAATTTACTCTTATTGGTGGCTGTGTTTGTGTATAGAGTTTTTAGTTTTTATTTCATTTTATTTTGCAGCCTCAGGCCATTTATTGTAAAGATGTTCTGGATATAGAACAGTTCTCTACTGTAAAAGGAGTGGAATTGGAGCAGACTGACAGTGACTTTTATCGCAAGTTTGCCACCGGCAGCGTGTGCATCCCCTGGCAGAATGAGGTAATATAGAAAAAGAAGGCAGAGCATGACACAGCTATAACGTTTGTTTGTATACGTAACAAAGATTAAGCTGTGATCTAATCACCTAAAAGGGCAAAAAGCCTAAAATCTGAGTTAACGCTTATTCTTTGAGAGGAGAGCCTATTGTCACAACAGCAGAGAAGCTATCATTTTAACCCATACATTTTTACAGAAATATATGTTTTGTGTTTTAAAACCAAACATCCTTTTATCATTAATTGTATTTTGAAGGACAAACAATGAAAGTGATGTTTTAGATGGGACTTGACAAACTTTCACAAACTGTGATGTGGATATATAAAATGTATGACGTTCCTGTCTTAACCACATTTCAGATGATTGACACTGATTGTTTTTGGGATCTGAGTGCGCTCCCCACAGATGGAGGCACTCCACCTGATTTAGACTGGAGGGGGCTTCCTTCACCAGAGCCAAAAAAAGGCCTGCTGCAGCGTTTTTTTAGCAGACGGGTAAGTAGCCAGACATCTGTACGTTGTAAACTGTTAGTCTATATTCACTGTTCTGTAGAGTAAATGTAATTTGGATTTACTGTAGTATAATGTTGTGAAAAAACTGAAATAGTTTCCTATTGTAAAATATTTACCACAATGACAACAGACCTGTTACACCTCAATATTCTCAACCCGTTCCTGCTGTAGACACCCTTTTAAGGGACTCTGTAGGCATTTAGATCACCTCATCACAATGAAGTGGTCTGGGTGCCATTGCCTTCTGCAAAAACGGCAATGCACACATTGCAGAGTTTACATACCGCTCGTTGAACTTTTCTCTCCAATTATATTGTCTCGTAGAGGAGACCAATTGATTGGCCCAGTACAGCATTTTACTGCGCATGCGCACGAGCCTCCCGATGTTGACCTATTCCATACGTTTTATGGAACTATATGCCCACCTAGTGATCATTTATGTATTTTAGAACAAAATCAATCTTGTAATCCTGTTTCCACAGCCTAATTTGTAAACTTGTATTGCAGATTAGATATAGCTTGTTGTGTTGCTGTGAAGATCTATTATGTACTGGGCTTCTTGGAAATATGGATTTGTGCCCCCTGTGCTTTTTTTTTTTTTTTTTTTTTTTTTTTTTTTTTTTTTTTTTTTTTTTTTTTTTTTTTTTTTTTCCCTTTATGTAGAATCTGAAGTATTCCAAATATCTTATGAGAAAATAAAGTTGATGGAATGTATCCATTTTTAACACATTAAGTATGCAGTATGCAGTATGTTAACTTGATCAACTTGTTTAGGGAATTAATATAGCAAATACATTTCCAAAAGAAGAAAAGAGGTGCAAATGACTGATGATGGCGGGATGAAACTGGGCAGATCCCCTACAGTCATGCATATGTCCAATCAACTGGTGCTAAACAGTCCTTTGATGCAGCACAGAGCACCATATTCTCAGATGTACACATCTTGCTCACACACACTTCACATTAACAGGAGCTGCGTAATTCCACCTGCATTTAAACACACTGTCAATTTGCACGAGTGCACCTCTGCATTCAAGCACAATCTGCATAACCCAAAATACTGGCAATGGGCATAAATACACACTTGAATTCACCCACACATTTCAGCTATGTATAAGCAGTTCTGAGTATTTTATTTTTTTATTTTTTCCAATTAATAGCAATTTGAAGCACAGTCCTGTGGAACTCATATTAAATATAGAATAAACCCTCCTCCCACTGTAGCACATAGAGGAATGTGCAGACACTCCTGCCCCAAAATTACTTAAACGAGCTTAAGTTGCTATTAAGGTGGGAATGTATATTTAATGGAAAGTCCTCTATTAGAAACAGAACTTCTAATATCTGGATGATTTTGTTTTATGTAGAACTTTTTATCAATGTTTGTTAAATAACTAACTAGTTTTGTCAAAACCGTACATCTAGAAGAGTGGAAAGCACAATTAGCACTACTTGCAGGTGTGCTCTCCCCGGCAGTGGTACTTAATTAACTACTTTCTAGCGAGTGAACAAAAAAATAGAACATTACAACGTTGAGCAAACTCAGAAAATGGTGTTTAGAGGACCTTTGGCTTTCACAGTAGTATAGCACTTCATGAAGCTCAATTAATTGTTTTGCCTCTTATTAATGATATCTGGACTTGAGACCCCACTTTAGGTTGAAGCTAAGAGATAAAAGTAATATTCTTACTCCCTTTGTATCTGGCACTGGTACTTCATATTCCACAACCTTTCTTGGCTGGGCTATGTTTTGTTGTACAATCTCCACGTGCAGAATGCGGTTTAGAAACATGCAGGTTCTGTTTTCCTCCCCTTTCTAATCTGACTGTGCTTTACTCTTTTTAGGAATGCTGTGGCAACTGTAGTGACAGTGAAGATGAACCAACTCGCCTGTAGCTCTCACGGAACCTCAGAAGATTTCTCAAAGTTGAACCAGTTTACAATTTTTTGCACATTCATAGCCATACACTCCTGCTTAAAGGGGTTACAGAACAGTGCCTCCAGTTTCTCCCGGAGCCAGTGTGTTAAAGATAATATTGTAATGTCTATTCAGATGTATAACTATAGGAATGTATATTTTCAGTGGTTTTAAAAATCCTATTCCCATCACATAGACTTCAATAACACCACATACCCTTGCTACCAGAGGCCAAAGGACTATTACACTGGCCAATCAAGAACAACTATGCTTAAGGAAATATCCTCGAAAAAGTTGCATCCTCTTTGTTTGTGAATGTGTGTTAAGAGATTTCTATTTTATTTTTTAGCATATTTACATATATGTAAAATAATAAGTTAATGAAAAGAACATTTTCCTCTACAAATCAAAATTTTAGGAATAGAAATGGCTCCAATATATTGTGCATTTCATTTTTTTCATTTTAAATTATATATACATGCGTATTTTTTTTATTTTGTTTTGTTAATGAATACCTGCTGAAACTCAGAAAAAAAAATGTGAAATAACTTTTTTTTTTTAAACTATATAAAAACCAATGAGCTATATATCATAAACCCTAATAATTTATTTACCTTTCTTTTTGGGTCTCACACTGGTAACTTAGTGTTTTAAAATGTTTGTTTTGATATTTTGTCCTGTTAAATCACACATTATTTATGCATTCAAGGACCATAGTAGGCGAATAGAAGACAATTCTACCTGTCAATTCTTCCACAATATAGTTGAGAGGACCATTGTAAGTGGCAATTTTCAGTGGTTAGATGCATGCTTCACTAAAGCTGCTATAAACCATTCATTTTTCAGAGCATGACACCAGCTGATGAAAACATATATTTTTGTTTTTTGCACAGGGTAGAGCAGGGTTTTAGAACTTATTCCAAGTTCTGTTTTATGTCCACTCCTCCCATCCTAGTTGTAGGAGGTATACCAAAGCACAAATCACCCACTCCAATGTGCTGTGATACAATAAAATCATACTCCTTCTGGTTATTAGAAGAACATTCCTATGCATAGCTTTGCTTCTTGTGCCTAACTCATCTTTGACTTTTTTTTTTTTTTTTAAGCATGCAAAAAGGCCCTATCTACTCTTACTCCTATTACTTGGTAGAGGTGTGGAATATAAAGCCTTACAAATGATTCTGACACATGTGCCTTTGTACTTGTTTCCAGAGCACTACTTTCTTCCTGTGCTGCTGTTGTGTCAACATTTTTTTTTATTTTTTTTTTTATTGGGTTTAGTATAGCACTCAAGTAATTTCCCATCTTTGAGGATCTGACTTGTTTTATTTGTATTTTTGTTTTTCTTTCTGGATTTTATACATTTTTTTTTTTTCTTTTTCAAAAAAATAAATAATTTTATTAAAAACAAAAAGCATAATTGCATTCTGTGTGAATATTTTACTGTAGATGACCAGTAGAGGGCCTCCTAAGATGCATGAGAGCTACCATGTATTCAGTCTCCAAGTTACATGTTAGTCTGCCTCCTTGACGCTTCATATTTATTGCCTTGTGAACTAAAATAGTATATCTACATTGTAGTTGCTGCCTATAAATACATATTATATAAAAATGCATCTCTCTCAAAACCATGGTTGAAATTAAATATAAGTTTTAGGATCTTGTCTTACAATGTTCTGGACCACGGAGAGCCAAAAGTAGCCACTTTAAGGCTGACAAAGCACCATGGGAGTTATGTTTCCACAGCTGAGGGACTGACTGACTGGCTACTTCTGGCCTAGAGTATGACTGTTATGGAAATGCATCAAACTGCACAGACGAACCAGAATTGTTACTCTACCATTCTAATATTCCATACATTAAAAAGACGTTTCCGTCCAAGATATCTGCATCACCAGAAATGATGCAAGTGCTGTTGAAAGACCAGGCCATCTGTGATAAGAATGTTCTTGAGAAATCCATTATAAATCTAGATTTTTTTTTTTTCTTGTATGGAGATTTGATTAATTTACTGCAGTTCTAAATTATGTTTATTATTGCTCAACACACATTAACTTTACAGGCCAATACAAGCATGCATCCAAAAAAAAAAAAGTGTCACAGATTTTCATTCTGTACACACTTCACTTGCTTCTGCTTAGGTTGTCTGGCAACTTTACCAGGACAGCTGAGTGTGTACAATATGCCAGACCACTTATGAATATTTTTTTCTCTTTTTCAGAAATGAACACATTTGCAACAAACCAGTAGAGAGATCATTTCCATTTTCATCTTTAAAATAAAATTGTAGATATTGTTTTTCTTTTTATCCCTTGTTTTAAAATTTAAGCAGACCGTTTTTGTTTCCCTTACTGGCAGCCCAGCACAGTCAAGATATCATGGGGCATTGGCTTGTAATGTGACCGGTGTTCCCACACATTCTGGGACGTTGCCATTATGCAATGACAAGAAAGCAGTGATCGGTGGCAGAAGTGATAAGTTAGCAACTCTTGACTCTCAAAATGCATATCCTGCACATACAGTTTTTGGTACACAATCCATTTTGTAAACCTCAAACTGCATCATCCTTAGTGCTGGAGAAGCGTGATTGTTGTGCATGATTTATTCATTTATTGCAACTTGCACCTTGTCTATCAAGAACTGGAAACTGCAGTTTTGAGTGTCAAAGTACAGTTTTGTTGTAACATGCAATTTACAGTGGCTTGTACATTGTAATCGTATTTTCCTTCCTTTGGATTCCTTGGACCTCTTGTATTTGCACCATCTACTGTCCAAAACTCACATCTTTAAAATTATTCTCAGATTGAACATTTAGAATATTGTCCTACATATCAATTACATGTAATTTCTTCTTATGGGTAAAATAAAGTCAGAAATGTATGCAATCCGTACAAATTAATATTATTGAGGTCCTAGGCAAGTCTATGATTGGGGTAATCCCCCTCCCAATATCTTATATTTCCCCCCTAACTGTTCCTGTTCATCACACCATATCAACACATCCCTCCCATCTCCTCAGGACCGCATGACACTGATCTCTCTTTATTTTAGCACCTTGACTAGATATCAGTTCATCCAAGTTAGCCAATCTCTGCCTTTCCCCATGTATTGTGTCTATACAGTTCTCAAGCTATGCACATGCTCCTTTCTCTCCCCTTTTTACACCCCCATCCCTGAGCAGAAGGATGTGAACCCAAAGGCCAGGGGTATTTGAACTTGCAATAACAATATATGTCCGTTATGGGTAATATATCCATAATTCCATATTAATACACTTGTATTCCCATAGAAGTGACTGAGTTTGCTATTTGTATGGACTTTCTGTGTTTCGGTCTTCAATCCTGGCATCACTTCTTATAGCAGGATACTGCTGTGTTGCTTTACTTGCTGTAGTTTTGCTCTATCAGTTTCTTTCTCCTTTAATCCTATTTTCTATCTTGCTTACGTTTTCTTTTTTTTTTTTTTCACCTTCATTCTTTTGCCCTCTGTTGCATCTGTTTTAATAAACAAAATACAGTGGGTTTATCACATTTGATATAGCTCCTTGTGTCTTTGGTGCTTTATTGATTTCCCTGGTAAAGACAAAACCTTTTTACTGCAGGGGATTACAGGGCTGTTCACCTAGTATACATTCACACATACTGATGTACATGTAAAGATTTACAAACACAGATCAATACACTGACACACAGAAATGCTGACACAAAGGCACAAGTCAAAATACATTGGGCAAATCAGTTACTTTAAATGGAGGCTGAAACTTGAGTGCTCTCATCGTGCCACCGCCGTCTCTCTCGCCGAAATCTGCCATTTGCCTCCACAGTCTCACTTGATGCGCCATAAAGTAAAAGCACAGTCAGAGCCGTGCGATGGCCACAAAGTGAATCCACAAATGCGCGAAATTCGGCAGTTGCGAATGCAGAAGCAGATGGAGAAATTACATACGGTCACAGTAAGGAGTTCATACAAGAATAGGATGAAAGGTGAATATGATAGAAAAACTTTATTTGATGCAGGGATTGGAGCCAACCTTAGCTCTTCCCTAGGTCAAAGAAAGTCAACTGTAGGAAAAATACATAAGGCAAAGTAGTCCCTAGTTTGACTTATGTTTATTGTTAGAAAATGGAAAAAGAGACGAGTAGGCTATTAAGGAAAGGTGAGTATGGTGGGACAGTGCCGCTTTAATTAAAAAAAAAAAAAAAGTAAATTGTGGCTGTTGGGGTAGAAGGAGCTACTGCTTGCTCTGCAAATGGGCCTCTGGGCAGGTTGAAAACCACCACTGTGCTGTGAAGCACCGACAAGTTCCTTGATAGGGGTGGAGCCTAACTGCTTAGCTGACCAGACGTATTTTGGATGAGCTCAAGGTGACAAATGCCAAATACTAGACTAAATAGGTTAAAATCGACAATCAATTGCACACTTTTGTGAGCTCCAGCATCTATCAATCTGACGGAGTTCAGATGTCCAGCGGCACCAGATCGCGGCAGTTTGCGGTCTATTACAAGTGTGAGAGGAAGACTGCCAATGCCTGTGCCCTCAGACTCTCTGTGTTCCGCATGGTCTCTTGGAACATAACCTTCTCCATCCCCTCCAGCCAGTGAGAGTCATCCTAATAATCTAACATTGGTGTTGTGGGGTTTGATTAGCTAAACCTCGAGATGGATACCATCATCGGAAATATGGCGGTCATTCCCTGCACCCATACTAGCAGAGATCGGCAACCCAACATTCTGAGCAAACTGGACCAGTTGTATGATTTCTGGGCTAAACTTCAGAGTCTGCAACACATCTTTCAGTGGGACCCAGCCACCGAATGTCCACCAATTCGTCGGAGACAGAGGCCATCCCTGAGCCAACTGCATGGGCAGTGCCTATGCGCACATGGGAGGAGTCTTGTTAAGAGCACCTTAAAGCCGCAACAATTGCTGCTTCCATTGGAGAAGCAAGCTGGGCCTCACCCATGCATATATATCCGAATCTACTTTGGGTGGTCAGATCCTTACGGTTCCAGTCACAACAGAAATCTTGAGTACACCTATATCCTGGTCTGCTGGGGAACTATGCTGCAAGTGGTGCCTCTTTGGCATCTTACTAATAAGCAGGATTGTGCTTTGCCTCTGATGGGGATTGGGTAGCAGAAGATCCCAGCCAGAGTATGATCCAAGCTGCAGGTTTAACTCTGAACTGAGATGCACACCAGTAGCCAGACACACCAATATAGCTTGTTACATTATTCCTAATGAAAATTCTCCCAATGAAATTGTTTTGCTCTGTCTTCTTTACCTGTGGCTTTAATCTTATTGCATTTTGTTATTCTTGTTATATGTTTCCCCGCGTTATTTCATAAATATCATTATCATTCTTGCTGCGTGTCTTGTAAATGTGCACTATCAGGAATGTATTAAATCACAAAAAAAAATGTTTTCAAAGTGTTCCTTGACAAGCGAGGCTGTGAGGGCACCATAACCTGGTTAGAGAAGTAATAAAATAAAATCTCACTCCAATCCACCTGTATTTGCCAAAGATGACAGGAAGCAGATTCTGGGGGATAATTAACACACTTCAATAAATCTCTCCATCAGATTCTTATTTCTGAAGCCAAAGCTGATCAGATTTTCCCACAAGACCCTGGAATCACCTTTTCAACCAAGGGAAGGTGGCTGGCCACCTAAACATCTCTTTAGACATATAGTGACAGCAATACACATTTGCATTCCTAACACTATAATGTTCCTTTAAGTCCTCCTAATAGCAGCATAGTGGGTTGGTATTGAGTGCCTCTTGCCAGGATGAAGACAAACAAAAGTATGCTTTATCATGACAGGCTTGCAGGCAGGCCACTAGAACTGCAAAACATTTCAGCGCTTGTGATGTAAGCCCGCCAGATCACTAAGAATTATGCTTGACCCCAGATATCTCCTTGGATCAAGAAGCTATTACCCCACTAATTAAAAATTATATCCCTGTATATTGTGTTTTTGCAAGTATTTAAGTGCTGTTTAAATATCTGTATACAGGTGATACTCGAAAAATTATATATATATCTCCATATATCCCTTCCTGGCAATCAGTTTCTGCTTGTAAACTAACTCACTGATCAGAATAAGAGGAATCCCGGACTAATGAAATGGACAATAATTAACTATGATGTAATTGCTTCTTTACACACAAAAGCGTGGCATAAAAACACTCTCCTTGAGTTAGTATTCTGGTTCTATAAACCTTTTAATTGGACGATTAACTTTCACACAAAGATTACTGGCCAGCTATTTGTGTAAATGGAACACAAACTCTCAAAAAAACAAGACCTTTATAAAAGTTTGTGAAATATTTATTTTAAAATTTTTCTTTAAAAGATGTCTAAGCTACGCCATTAAAAAATTTTTATAGGCAATTAAATCAGTGGGAATATATATATATATATTTATTTATTTTTAATCCAAAGTGAGCTAGCATTAGAGAGAGGCCACAAAGATGGATTATTTCTTGTTTTGTTCTGCAAGCTCATACAAACAAAAGAAAGAATATGAGAACGGACAAAAGCTTAGAGAGACTCAATAGCTTGCCCTTTGGTAAATCCCTGCTCAGATTTCGCCCTAGGCGGAAAAGAAATTGCCGCCCCATTCGTTCCACTCACTTATGCAGACTTATCTAAACTGACCAATACACACACACGGTGACCTATACAGAAACACACTCACACTGACCCCCCTCCACTCACACACACACACACACACACACACACACTGACCCATACACACAAACAAACCCATACATACACACTGACTCATAAATACACACACTGAGCCATACACACACACACACACACACACACACAGACCCATACCCACACACTGACCAATAAAGACACACAGTGATTCATGCACACACACTGACCAATACATACACAGATCGATACATACATACACACACACACACACACACACACAGACTCATAAAGACAGACACACAGTGGTTATGGTATGGGCAGGCGTATGTTATGGACTACGAACGCAGGTGCATTTTGAATGCACAGAGATACCGTGATGAGATCCTGAGGCCCATTGTTATGCCATTAATCCACGACCATCACCTCATGTTGCAGCATAATAATGCATGGCCCCATGTTGCAAGGATCTGTACACAATTCCTTGAAGCTGAAAACATCCCACTTCTTGCATGGCCAGCATACTCACTGGACGTGTCACCCATTGAGCATGTTTGGGATACTCTGGATTAGCGTATATGACAGCGTGTTCCAGGTCCTGATAGAGTCCGAACCTCAAGATCTGAGGAAAGGGATTTAGGGGTGATTATTTCTGATGACTTAAAGGTAGGCAGACAATGTAATCGAGCTAGCAGGAAATGCTAGCAGAATGCTTGGTTGTATAGGGAGAGGTATTAGCAGTAGAAAGAGATAAGTGCTCATGCCATTGTACAGAACACTGGTGAGACCTCACTTGGAGTATTGTACACAGTACTGGAGACCGTATCTTCAGAAGGATATTGATACTTTAGAGATAGTTCAGGCTACTAAACTGGTTCATGGATTGCAGGATAAAACTTACAAGGAAAGGTTAAAGGATCTTAACATGTATAGCTTGGAGGGAAGACGGGACAGGGGGGATATGATAAAAACATTTAAATACATAAAGGGAATCAACACAGTAAAGGAGGAGACTATATTTAAAAGAAGAAAAACTACCACCACAAGAGGACATAGTCTTAAATTAGAGGGGCAAAGGTTAAAAATAATACTAGAAAGCATGACTTTACTGAGAGGGTAGTGGATGCATGGAATAGCCTTCCAGCTGAAGTGGTAGAGGTTAACACAGTGAAGGAGTTTAAGCATGTGTGGGATAGGCATAAGGCTATCCTAACTATAAGATAAGACTAGGGAGTAATGAAAGTATTTAGAAAATTAGGCAGACAAGATGGGCTAAATGGTTCTGATCTACCGTCAAATTCTATGTTTCTATGTCCTGCCAATATCCAGCAAGTTCTCACAGCCATTGAAGAGGAGTGGACCAACATTCCACAGGCCACAATCAACAACCTGATCAACTCTATGTGAAGGAGTTGTGTTGCACTGCGTGAGTCAAATGGTGGTCACACCAGATACTGACTGGTTTTTGGGACCCCCCCGGACCTCCCAATACAGTGAAACTGCACATTTTAGAGTGGCCTTTTAATGTGGCCAGCCTAAGGCACACCTGTGCAATAATCATGCTGTCTAATCAGCATCTTGATATGCCACACCTGTGAGGTGGATGGATTATCTCGGCAAAGAAGAAGTGCTCACTAACGCAGGTTTAGACAGATTTGTGAACAATATTTGAGAGAAATGGGCCTTTTGTGTACATAGAAAAAGTCTTAGATCTTTGAGTTCAGTTCAAAATGGGGGCAAAAACAAAAGTGTTGCATTTATAATTTTGTTCAGTGTATATATATACACATACACACACTAGCCAGAATGTACTAAACTGTAAAAGACTAGTGTCTTATTTAAAAATGTAAAGTGTAAGGTTATCCTACTTAGCATCTGAATGTTTATACAATTTCTTCAGGTTCTGGAAAGAATTCCCAAGTACGGTTAAGTTTTCCTTGGTAACTGTTGCCATAGTAACATTGGGAACGGAGTGCCACATACATATTTTTTTAGTGCATACATAAATATATATATATTTTTTTATATATACTGATTTTCGCGTTTGTGTGATGAACTGACAAGATCAAGAACTTTGCTTAAGCTTTTTACATGCATAAAAGATGATTCTAGATTATAAGAGCCTTATATTTTTAGCAATCTACCAATGCAATTTTTTCTTTTTTTTTTATGCATTGCATTTATCTAAATTAAACATCATTGATACACGTGCATTGTCTGACAGACATTTTGCAGAATGAAGCTAGCTGGCAGATGGGGCCAAATGATTCATTCATTCTACAGCGTTCTCCCAAGTTTAAAAAAAAAAAAATCACTAATATCAGGACACTCAATAGATCTATTCACTGCTGGGGGCTAATTGTATAATTTGTCTTGTCCTCTTTGTCATATGATGTAAGAGGGGCTGAGGTCAACATAAAAGGATGGGATAGGATAAAATGAGGGCTGGCATAAAGGTAGGAATGAGCAGAGGGAGACGGTAATTTAAGGAAGGGGAAGTAGAGGTTTACTGGCACTACACAAAAATAGAGGTGCTCTGGAATAAAGACAATGGACCTTTCCTGCTATTTGCTCATCACTATTCCTATTATTTCTAGGGTTAGAATATTAATTGAGTGAAGCTAAATTAGTTCCTAACCCTAATTTTAAACCTAACCTTTCATCCGCCCTCCACTATTTCCTAGGGTTATAGTAATAATTAAGTGTGGCTGACAGTTAAACAGTTTTGAAACAGTTAACATTTTCAAAAAAAGAAAATGCGAAAGAAAGTTAAGGTTAGGAGCTAATTTAAAAGATAGTGTCCTACTGAGGGAGACTAGAAGAAGGAGCTCCACTAGCATAAGGGAGAGAGGGAACGAAAAGGGGACCCTACTTTATTTAATCAATCTAGGGATATGCATAAAAAACTAAGTGAAAATGGGTAACAAAAGGGAAAATAATTATACGGTGCCACAAGGATATGTGATCTAGAATGCTCTAGGTCACATGAAATTGAGGGAACCAGAAGGGAACACAAATTAGCTTTTGAAACGAGTTTAACAATAATGTAACTACTGTTACTACTGTGATTATGATGCTAAAATCCCCCAATCCCCAAGCATCCGACTAAATGGAGAGAGACTGAATGATAGAGGTGAGGCTGACATTATTAAAGAGGTTATTAAAGGGGACGGGAGCACAACGATTAAGTGACGAAAAGTGGAGGATAATACTAAGGAGCAATTGCTATAAAGTGACGGGAGGTAAGAGATATTCATCTAGAGCAACATTTCCCAATTGGTGTTCGAACAAAATTCGGGTTCCGCCGCCGCTACCTGCTGTTCCCGGAAGGTCGGAAACAGCAGATTTTGCGGGAGCACGATCTTAAGCCCGCCTTGCCGTCAGTCCGCCCTGCAGTCAGAGCCAATCATGGTATGATGGCAGAAAAAACATTAAAACAGAACGGCCATAAAATATAAATAATAACCAAATTTAGCTAGGGTGGCGGCGCTGGGGGCTAAACACAGCCCACGAGAGTATACGGCTCAACCAAATCCTGCAGCGGAGCACCCATTGCATCTGCCCAAGCAGAGGAATAAGGACAGCAAGGGAAAATGTTCGGTATGGCCACATTGAATGCAGACTGCAGGCTGGCACTGCAGTTGGGTCACTGTCCAAGAGGGGGAAAAGTCCAGCCGCCTTGCCACCGTCACTCTCGTCCTCTCTCTCTGCACCATGCCCTAAAGCCACACCCTCTTGCCACAAGAGATACAATGTCTTGCCGCCAACCAACAGCCTTTATAGTATTTGTTTGTTTGTTTTTTGTAGCGGGTTAGAGCAGGGGCACCAGAGCCTCATGAAAGTCAGCCAGAAAAAGGTCCAGACCAGCAGCGCTGATGTGGACCCCATCAGGCATAAAAAGCTCAACCCGGTCGGCAGAAATGCCCGGATGCCCAATGATGAACCCAAGCATCTCAGCAACAGCCCGACCTACCAGCCTATTAAGTTTCTTCCCAGCCCTGTAAGCAGTGCTGGGAGAAGAAAACCCACGCCACTGAAGCCTGTGCAACACATTGGACCACCCGATTCCCACGCCTGGTAACCAAGCAGATCTGAGCAGACAACCTGAGCCAGGTCTAGCACTGGAACAGACCCCAAATCGTTGCCACTGAGATGGAGCACCAGGATGTGCGGACTCCCCCATCGAGCCCGAGCCTCCTGAAGCAGCGCTGGGAGAGCAGGCCAGCAAAGGACGCGCTGTCCCAACCAGCGGACACACACCTGAGAGGCTGGGGACCCCAGAGTCTGGCCCAGCGATGAGGAGAGTGCATGTAAAGGTAGCCCAGTGGACAAAGGAGTGACCCACTAGCCAAACACGCGTGTGGGGAGCAGCTCCTAAAAGGAAACCAGAGTGAATAAATGAAAAACAAAACAGGTACCACATCAACCTATGTAGCAGAGAGGGGCCTAACATATAGCTTGTACCTCTGCGATCTCCACCACCGCAAGCGACGAAGTTCATCCAGGGGGTGGCCCAGCGCAGCTGCACAAGTTGCCGCGCCAATCCTGAAAGAATGGGAAGTGATATGGCAGGCTGACAACCCCACCTGACGCATCGCTAAGCTCAAAACCTTAGTAAACTAAAATGCGAAAACTCAGAACCGTTGGCATGGACTAGAAACTGGGTGCAGCTCAGGGGACGCAAGCGAGCAAGGAACTAACCAGTTGCACAATGCAAAGAGCGCTATCTGTCA